GTCCTTCGCTTCAGTAGCAGGATCCGCCAAGCGGAAGCCGTAATTCACACTAGGGTGTAGGACCGGCCGGCGGTGCGCGCGGATAGCGGCCCTGCAGGCAGCCTCCAGCAGCTGCTCTTGTGCCTCGTCGAGGTCATTGGTAATGATACCACTTCTCTTGGAAGTCGAGAGGTCGGGAAACGGACACGGTGTTCACAAGGTTCGAGCGGAGCTCACGTCACGCCGCTGACTATATCACTCTCCTCTTGTTCCCATCCTGGGAAAGGAATATCCGACTCGTAGTCGACTTCCCTTCAATCCTCGACGATGTAATCTGTCGCCCGTGGCGTGCGCAGAGTGAGGTGCTCGGTTGCCGAGGGCTTAAGATGCGCTTTCCTTGAAGGCGCGGACGTACTGCCCGGAGTTGCACCGCGTGCAGGAGACGAAGATGGCTCTGCCTGTGGGTGCTCTCGGAACCAGCGGGGCTTGGTGTTTTACGTGTCCTGGACACAGAGCTTATTGAGCAGAGAATGCGTGAAGAAGGTCCTGGGGACGTAAAGGTCTCTTGAGAACGCGATTCTCGTACGAGGCGACAGTTAAATGTGAACTGTGGGCATTCACAATTTTGATGGGGGGAGTGTAACGGGGTTACACATACTTTGGGATGACGGGTGACAGAAGATGGTGTGGTAAAGCTCTAACAAGAGGCCACTACGTGGCGGGACTGCCAGTAGTTATGCATTTTAGTTAGGTTTTACCATTTATTTAGGAAACCCTAACGACTAAGATATAGGCGGATCTGCCGCAAATAAAACAAAAGAATACAGTTTCAATTTTGAACGGAGGGATATATTTGCCTTGGGTTAAGGTTGCGAATACTCTTGGAGCTAGCGGATTGCGATCCGCTACGCTCATACTGGTTCTATTATAGAAAGTGAGGTCGGTGATCGTGGCTTAGCTTCCTCTAAGCAAAGAGCTATGGCAGCCCCGCTGCACATGATATGCGTATGACCCTCAGTTTCAGTGAGGGATTCCTTAGTTACTACGAGATGTAGCCGGGCTAATACCAGCAAGTCGAATTGAACTAGAGCACACTCTCCCATCAAGTTTAGAATTTTATGAATTGCGAGCGGTTGACACGTCCAACCTGGTGCCGAGCACCTTATACAAGTTCGCTATTGTTTTGTATGAATATCCACACTTTCCGGCAAAGAAAAGCACGTCCGACGTAATGGCTACCGGCAAGCTATACATGTGAAACACTTCATCGAGGATGATCTTGGCTGTATCCCCACCAATCACTACATTGCTGACAGTGGTGAAAATGGCCAACTTGCTCAGACGATCCATAACGCCCACAAATTTCGCACGTGTGTTCATACGTGCCCACCTACTTATACATGTAGTTCTACCAATACATAGCGCTCACCGAGCAGTGCATCTCTTCTTTTCCGGAATGGCCCTTTCCAAGGTTTCATGCGCCTCGATTAGTTATCCGTGCATTAGGTCCTCATCACGAGGCACCGCTACACGCTGAGTATCATGTAGGCCAGTCCTGTAGTACAGTAATACTAGACTGAAAATAGGGCACACTAGTGCAGCTGCGAGCTTATGTAAAGCGACATCTGACTTCTTAAGCCAGCGGTTTTAGTAACGCAGCACCTGTTTCGTCTGACCTGTACGCTGTACTTATAATTCCATCAATGTGCGATGTCAGCATCGTGAAGTGTGACAATTCATAGTCGTATGATGCAAAAGCGCCTCTGACACCACAATGAGCCGACCCGGCTTTTACCTTGCTGCAAAGATTTTGTCGGCAGAGCAGGAAAATTATATTTCCATTCTCTAGGTGATATGCGGCGATGGTGTCTCCGTGCGCAACGACACAAGTTCTATAATGATCATGAATGGCTCGGAGACGAAATAGATATACCATAAGTTTGACTAAAGCAGTTTTATTCAGTTAGTTAGAGCAGGTAAGTTCATCTCCATCGCTTATAAATAGCTGGTAATGACGCCCTCTGCCCGCGTTCGT